CTGATAATAATAATAATAATTAATAATAATTAATAATAGTAATAGTAAAAATAAAATCAATACATTAAAAATAATTATGTTGAATTAATATATATATATATATATATATATATTTTTTTTTTATTATTTTCATTTACTTATTATTATCATTATTCGTTATTATTATTAGACAATTCGCAAAAGTGTCAAGTTTTTCGCGACCTTCGTTTTTCGAAGAAGAAGAAAAAGATAAAAGAAAAGGAAGGAAGAAGAAGCAAAAAAAAAAAAAAAAAAAGAAAAAAAAAGAAAGAGAAAAAGGAAAAGAAAAAGGATAAAGAAAAAGAAAAATCATCAACCCTCCTTTATAAAAAGTGTTCGTACACGTATAAATATTTATACGTGGAGTTAAGCCAACTAGAATTTTGTTAAAAAGAATCGTAAATACGTATTCGACGGTGTTAGATATTTTTATTATTACTCTTCTCCTTACTTACGTCTCTTTAGAATAATATTACTTTGAAGGCAAAGGAAAAAGAAAAAGAAGAAGTAGAAGAAGAAGAAGAAGGAGAAGAAAAAATGAAAGAAGAAAAAGAGAAAGAAAAAGAAAAAAAAGGAAAACGTGTTATTTGTGAAAACTGCACATCTCTAGCAGTTTCGTACTATAGTAATTCGTAGTATAGTAATTCTTCTTGGACTCATTTGCGATACATTGTTTCAAGATATGTACTTATTTAGTTACGTACATATTTACGTACATACATATATCTATAGGTATGCGTATCTGTCTATATACGTATCTAATATATGTGTATATATATATATATGTGTGTGTGTGTGTGTGTGTGTATATAACTAGCTAGTAACAAATTATGCGACCTGACAGATTTTTAACATACATACGTACATTTATATATACATTTATATATATATATATATATACACATTTATACTTACATTTATGGATACATGTATACATTCATGCATATATATGTGTACGTATGTATGTATGTGTGTTTTTGTAAATATTACACATGCACAAAATATTGCTACTGTATCATATCTGTTGTCTTTCTGTATATTTGCTTCTTCTTCTACTTCTTCTTCTTCTTCTTCTTCGTCTCGTAATCGTTCATCTTTTGCATTTTTCTTTTTCTTTTTTTTTTTTTTTTTTTTCCTCTTCATAAGAGAAGGAGCAACAACGATTTCTATAGGTTAGCATTTGTAACGCGTTAGCACGCACCTACTAACGAACTAACGAAGCTCAGTATGACTACAAGCGTAGGTAGTCTACATACATCTCTCTCGCTCTCTCTCTCTCTCTCTCTCTCTCTCTCTGTCTTTCTTTTTCTTACAGGCTGAATCTTTTATAGCTTTCTATTGCTTCTCTCTCTTTCTCTTTTATACGAGGCTTTTATAGCTTTCTCTCTTTCTCTCTCTCTCTCTATCTATCTATCTATCTATCTATCTCTTTTTTTTTCATTCTCTTATATATTAATTTTTTACAGCTCTCTCTCTTTCTCTCTCTGTCTCTCTCTCTCTCTCTTTTTTCCTTTCTTTTAGCATTCTATTCTCTGTTCGTGATATATAATATACATGTATATAGGATTTATAGGGTGGGCCAAAAAATTTTCAAGTCGAATTAAATAAAACTTAAAAGTTGAATTAAATAATACTTGGGAATAAATTTTTTTACGTGATTCAATTGGAAAATGAGAAAAGAGAGAGAGAGAGAGAGAGAGAGAGAGAGAGAGAGAGAGAGAGAGAGAGAATGACAAAAGGAAAAAAAAAATTAAAAAGAATTTATATCGTCTACATTATTTATTTATTTATTTATTTATTTATTTATTTATAACTTTCTCTCTCTCTATATATATATATATTTGTATTTATATTAATAATACGAGATATATATATATATATATATATGTGTGTGTGTGTGTGTAATTTTTTTTTAACATTTTTTTATCGTATCTTTTTTGCGAGGTTTCATGTTCCAATTAAGATAAATGCATCGAGATAGATCGTTCTAAGTCAAAGGGTTGATCGACCTAATCAATGATCGAAAAAATTTACATACCTATATGATATCTATAAAAAAATTAAAAAGGTTCGAAGAAATTTAAAAGGCACCTGCTGAGAAATACACACATATAAACACACACACACATATATATATATATATATGAGTTAGGATTTGATATGCCATAAGTGGCTTGTGTGAATGTTGATTAGGTTTCACTGATAAGAAACATACCCCGTGGATATGAAATGAAATGAAATGAAATGAAATGGATAAAGATTTTTTTCTTATATATATATGTATATATATATATATGTATTTGCCTCGGTGTGTGTGTGTGTGTGTGTTTATGTGTGTTTGTAAAATTATACGATCTAAAGATCATTGATACATATAGTAATTGATTGGCGAACAGGTATCGTCGTAATTTTTTTCGATTTTTATCGAAATAAATAATAATACCAGTAAATAAATAAATTTAATATTTTTTTTATTTTTATT